AAAAGAATTGAAGTAACTAACAGTTAACTTTAATAATCTTTGTAATTTAGAAATACTAATCCTGGAAGATAAACATACATGCAGTTAATTTTTAACTCTTCAAAATTACTTTTGCAAATTCCCTATTTCCATGATACAACCTCAGCGATGTCATCTGAACTTGTGAAGGAAAAACTGTGACCAGCTAGTTGATAAGCCTGAGTCTCAATTGCATCCAGCTTGGCTTGCATCATATGTTGCTGGCTTTCACATTCTGCAGTGCTGAAGCCAATTCCATTTAGTTCTAGCAAGGCCAAACAGTACTGAGAAGGCATTTCCACGTTACAGAAAACACCTAGAAGAAAAAAAAGAAAACTAAGATATTAATTCATCAACTAGATCAGTAGTACTCCCTAAACTAAATAAATTCAATACCTAAATTTATCTAGATAATCCAGGGATGATATGCAATCATTGAGATCTTGTCTCCAAAGCAGCACTTCCAAAACCACAATAGAACAGAGAAATACATGCCACTTCAGCACTAAACTATGTTCCTGCGTATGCAGAGTAGAAAAAAGAGTTGACAATATTGTGAACAGTTTTATCTGTCAGTAACTACATTTATCCCAAGATAATGTTTTCCACTTCTACTCTTAGCAGGAGGGAGTTCATAGTGAGTCACTCTTAATCCAAAGGCTGTGAAGCTCTGGTGTTCAAATCCAGTGGCTCCAAGAAAAAAAGATGGGCAGTCTCCTCCCACTGCGATTTACAGCCTCAGGAACCCAATGGAAGGCACTCTAAGTGGGAGCCAATAAGACAGGAGTGAGTGGCTTTTGGCAGGAGCAAGGTGGCCAAACTTATTTGCTAAGCTAACAGCAAAGTTTAGTTCTCTGAAGTCATTTCCAAGATTTCTCTCCCCAGGGTTGATGCCTGCTTACAAAGAAAACTACATACAGATATTTTCTAATTTCTTGAAATCAGAGTATTTTTTTCAACCTACTGATATTTCTCAGCAGGTTACACATCCTATCTTTTAACCAAGTATATATCCTATTTGTCAGGATGCTCATTGGAATATTCATCACAAAGATTTCCTAGAAGATTACCAATGAACAGGTAGAGTTAAGAACCACTGCACAAACCATGTGTCTGCATTTTTATGCCATTCTTAGGTACTTAGATGGCCTGTTAATATATTAAAGGTTTGAGCAAACTTGAGAACTTGTATTTTCATTTAAAATCTCAAACTTATTTGAAAGAAGTAGGAGCCCAAATGCATGCTGCACTAGATACAGTAGTCTTATGTCCCTTCACAGTTTTGCTATGCTGAGAGGTTTAAGGCAAAAAAATAATATTCTCGCAATTAAATTTTATACAAGACTGGAAAGGGTAAAGAGAGCATGGTCTTTTGGAAGACATAACCAGATCATATGTACAACTGTAACAGACCTGAGCCACTGGTAAAAGAATGTGACCTTGTTCTTGTTGTTATGAGCTGTCAAGTCACCTGCGACTCATAGAGACCCTATGTACAACAGCCCTAAACCCTGCTCTATCCTGTGCCAATCTCACTGTCTCTGACACACTCACCTCCATTACGCCAGTGACTGAATCAATCCATCTCATCGAGGGTCTTCCTTTCCTGCGTTGTCCCTCCACCCTCCTAAGCATGATGTCCTTCTCCAAGGACTGGTCCTTCCTTGCAGCATGTCCAAATATTTGCCCTACTCAAGGATTGTTCATGACTTATTTGGGCTAATAAAATGTACTGGGAAGCATAAGTAACTCATCGAATGTGAAGTATGGGTAAAAAAAAAATGGAGTGGTCTGTATTGCAATAAGTTTCTCTTTATATAGAGTTGTTTCTGGCTTCAAGTTTACAATTCAGTCAAAACTGAAAGACTGAGCAGTAAGTAATCTGCCCTTTAATTGGTTTATTTAATGCTTCTTCCAGGAATTGCTCTATTTTCTATACATAAAACCAAGCAATAGAACTCTCAGTGACTGGTCTGTTTGTGGTCCTACTCGGAAGGTCATGCTTTGAAATTGAAAAGGAAATTGCTTTTATAAGCCGTGAACCTCACAGAGGTCTTTTACGGGCAAGAAGAGAGTAGGAAAAAGGAAACTGACTAACAGGGCTTTCATACAAGTCAAATGTTGGAACACTGAAGATGACATGAGATGGTACATGAACTTTCCAGTTCCAAGAGAGAGAGCACACATGATAGCACAAGAAAATCAGTATGTGTCTTTCAGTAGGTAGCTTACTAGCTGAATTAAAGAGCCTTTATTTTCTTTTCTTTTAAATTAAAGAGCTTTAATTGCTGCCTGAGCAGAACAGAAGTCCAGAAGGTCCTGGAAGCAAAGCCAAAGTAAAAGCTTGGAAGAGACAACAGTAAAGAGGGCTGTTACACTGACCAATTAGCAGCAGGAACAGCAAAGGCAGAGAAGGGTGCATGTGCAGCTAAGAGAAAATTCATCTTGCAGGTACAGCTGAGAAGGGTTACTGGCTAGCAAATCTGAAAGGGAGCAGACAGCTGTCCCAATTGGAAGTTGTCCCGACTGATGAGGTCGATTTGTCACCTGAGTTATAGCCTGTTAATTTCAAACTGATCTTGATCTCAAGTTGTAGTGGGTTACTCTCTTAATAAGCCACCTAACGGAGAGTCTGATCTATGAGTTCTGTGTGGCCATAACATCGAGTTATCACCAGAGCAGGAGCAGAGTGCCAAGGGGGAAACAGCTGGAGTCGGAAAGAGGGCCAAAACAAGTTTTATAGTGGAAGTATGTCTGACCTTTGCTTCATAATAACCAGATTATGCTGCCCTGATTTTTATCCCCCAGGAATCTGAATTTATGTAAATAAACTGACTCATAGATGACCCTCCAGTGGGCAAGTTCTGACGCTAAAATAAAACCTTTTATTTACTACAATATCTATTAACATCTTGGAAATAAGTGTTCACAGAATATTAAGGGGAAAAACAAAACCAAAAAACAACCAAACTTCAAACTCACTGCCATGGAGTCAAAACAGATGCATAACTGACCTTCCAGCAAACTTTCTAAGGCTCAAATAACACAGAGGAAACTGCGCATCTTTCTCCTGTGGAGGAGCTAGTGTTATTTAGTCACCTCTCTTTGGGTTGGCAGTACAACGACTTTTCCACTAGGCCTTGAGAGCACCCTAATAGAATACAGTGTGGAAAACATGGTCCTAAAACACTAAGGAGGAAAAAACACAACTGTAATAAAGACATCAGTTTCCAGAACAATGGGTCACTAGGACTCCAAGAAGCACCAACTTATCCTCCTCAAGTCCTACTGAAAGCATTAGAAGTCTGAAGACGGCTATTTCCACTCATTTTTGTGTTTTCTATGGCTGGTTTTGGCTATAATGGCAGAGCTGAGTCATTGTCACAGAGACTATGTCATGTGGAAAACCAACAACATTTACTGTATTTCCCAAAAATGCATGTTGATCTCTGCACAAGTCAATCCAAAGGCAGGGACTGCATAAAACATACAGTTTAATCTCATGTGACAATAGTGGTTGAACAGATAACCATGCCCAGTCTGTTGTTGTTACATGTCGTTGAGTCAGAACCGACTCATAGCTGACCCCCCCCCCCCGCCCCGGTGCGTTACTGAAGGCAGCAAACGACACAGAAGGAGATTACTCATCTTCCTCCCACAGAGCAGCGGATGGGTTCAAACTGCTTGCCTCTGGTTTAACAACACAACTCCTTACCAAGCCATCACAGAGTATCATAAAACTGTTGGATACATGATTTTTACCTTGAAGATTTTCCTTCTGCAACAGAGAATTGAGTTGGTTCATAGAGTTGAAGATGAGAATGGACTCTACACATGCTCTGTAGCGCCCTGAGTGCTCAGCATTGACGTTCAGTCCCAGGCTCTGAATTCCTTGGCCGGTATCCATCCCTTCCAGCAGTGGAAGTGCCTGAGGAAGAAAGCTGGTAACCACGCTGTGAAGAGTCGGCTCCTTAGAGTCTGGATCTAACAACCAGCATGCCACCTGAATCGGATGGGTAACAGAAACAGTTTTTTAAAATTCTTTTCCCGACGTTACTGTTCATTAAGTTGAGAAAACAAAAGTTGATTTTTTCTAATCTCACTCATTTTCTCTTAACACTGATTCAGTAGCTTTCTCAGGAGAAGTGGCAAGGAGGAGAAATATATGAAGGCTCATTTTTCCAAATTAATCAAAGCAGTGGCCATCAAAGAAGGAAAGCTATAACTTTCCCATGACTGTCCTGCTTCTGCTGTACCAATTTCCTCTCCGTTAACTGGAACCATGTGTCTGAAAACACAAATGTACTCTTCACTGAGGCTGATTTTAGCCAAGTCGAGTCTATACAGTTTAATGTTTGTGTCGCAGTGCAGCTTCTTACCACTAGGCCACCAGAGTCGTTCTATCAATATAAGAAGCAGAAAAGCATAACTTAGCACAAAGAGTTCATATCGAGAATTTTAGAAAACTTCCAAATGTTCCTCTCCAGATGCGCACCCCTCACTAGGACCAACCAAATGGCATGTGATCACTATCCTAACTTGTTGATGAAATTAGAAGACGTGCAGTGTTAATACTGTACCTAGGAGACAATTAACTGGATTTAAAATAAGAAAAGCTTAGTAATTATTCGTAATTCTAACAATTGCTATATGACTCAGTAATTTCTTTTATAAATTAATGAAGTTTTATAATAATGGATAGGACAGTCTGATTTAATGTCAAATGCCATTCCGGTTACCCATGGTGGACGAATATTTGGTGAAGCTCGCAATTTAAGACAGGTTTGGAGGCAGGAGTGGCATCTATTTGCTAAACAACATGCCTCTGGAATCTCTATCAACTTTCAGAAACAATGATAGTTATAGAAAGACTTCAGGTCTTTTGTTCATACGGTAGCTATGAGCTGTGCTCGACTCAACAGCAATCAACAACAACAAACATCTCCTACAAAGATGAGATTTTTTAAAGTAATATTTTGTCATCGTATTAAAAAGTATCATTAAAAATACTAATATTAAATATTTTAAGTAGTTTAAAACAGAGCTGCATGCAAATCTGAGAGGCTCATCTTACTGTTTTGAACTCTAGAACAATAAAATTAAGTGACAACATTTAAATCCAGGAAACAGCAGTTTAGAAATTATATGGAATTTATCTAATGCTGTCTTTGAAAACTATTTGGTTAAAAAAAAATAAGCTATAGAAACCAGAAATTCTCTTACTATTGACTACAGTGATAACAACTACTAACTAGAAACAGTTCTCAACTATAAATTAAAAGTCCATGTCTCATGTGAAGAGAGTCAAAAAGGAATAAAAATGACATGTTTATCTATCTGAGAACTATGAAATTAAAAATAAATACCTTTCAGTCAGTAGATGAGTGTTAACAATAGTGCCATCAAGGCTCCTTATTACGTGTACACAGAGTATATCATAGATATATTATCAGCATTAGTGAGATTTGTCCTTACGCCACTATCCTTTTGACTTCTTATATCTACCTACTCTTGTTATTTTCTACTTCTTCTCTCACAAACGTTTGAAACATACTGGAATCATAAATCTAAACTAACAGTTTTTCTTTTACTTCTAATTTAGTATGCACCAGGAAACTTAGAACCAAAATAAAAATATTACTAATCTCTGAGAACTAGATGATGCCTAGTTGCCACAAGAATTGAACATTCTGATCGATAAAAGAATATTGATAAAAAGGGATAAAAATATGGGATAGAAGTTCATATTTTTTAAAGAATCCAGATTTACAGGACCAGTTGAGGTTGGAGGAGTCCCTGAGATAATAGCCGTGAGCTGCTCTTCAACCTTTTCTTGAAACTATGTTCTGAAGTCCCTTTAAAGCATATAATAATTTAACCTAAAAAAGTAAAGATTGTCACCTTTGAGTACTACATTTCTTAAAATACATATAAAAACACATATACACACACAGAGCAAAAAAGTCAAAAGCTATTTTAAAGCAGAGATGATACAGTGGGAGAGCAGAGATGGAAGTAAAACAAGAACAGAAATGACAAGGATGTTAACACAGTATGAAGAATGTAACCAGTATCACTGATCCTTATGACTAGAAACTACTGAATGAGAGTAGATATTGCTGTATATATATATATTTTCACAAAAAAATAAAACTGGGGGAAAAAAACCTGGGGAAAGACATGAACGTTAAGGGCTTGATATTTATGACACTTCTTTATCTAGGTAGAAACATTTGTGTGTAATTTTTTTGTTGTGAATGGATGAGATTACTGGACAAAGGAGTGACTACTCTAGATGAGAAGCTCTGTGGTCTCATGGTAAGAAGCTACACTGCAATCCCCAAAGCAGACAGTTCGAATCAACCAGCTGCTCTGTGGGAGAAGGACGGGCAATCTCCTCCTATTCAATTAACTGCCTCTGAAAACTCACTGGAGGGTCAGCTATGGGTCAGTTTCAACCTGAAGGTACACACAACTATTCTAGGTAGATCTCCTCCTGTACAATTACACTGCCTCTGAAAACCCACTGGATGGTCAGTCAGCTATGGGTTGGTTCTGACTCGATGGCACACAACAACTCTAGAGTGAGGGTCACCAAAAGAAGGGACCACTCTCAACAATATGGATGGACACAATGGTGGCAGCAATGGGATCAAGGATAATAGAGATACTGAGGAAGATACAAGATAGGGCAGGGCTCAGGGTTTACAGGGTCGCTATGCGTCAGACTCAACTCAACATCATTTAACACCACCACCACCACCACTAAAAGATAAAAATTAGATTACTGGAACCAAATAAATAAAGCTGGCCCTCCAAACAATTTTAAGTAAGTTAAAAAGAATTAAAACATTAAACCTTTGGATCTTCATAATTCTGTTCCAAGGAGATGCCACAAGACAGAAGAAGAGTTTTATAGCTCTGAATGAAATCAAAGACGATAACAGAACGTTCTTTATCAGAATCCTTTTGCAAGCAGCATTGAAGATGCCACATCCTGTCTTTCACAGTTAAGCTTGGATCCAAAGCAGGTGGTGCTAAACTGGCACTGATCTCTAAAAAGAAAAAGAAAAAAGTTTTAGAGCAAAGTAATATACACTTATTTCCAGCAACTTTAATGGAAAAACAAAGATTCAAAAGCCTTAGGTTCTGATTCCACGTGATCATTAACTCGGCCTGACCTTCCTGATGTGTACCAGCTACCTAGGTGAATGCTTCAATTATTATTTCAAAAACTATTTTTTGGCTCTGATGATTTCTACTATTTTACTTGTTATCGTTGCTGTATGCTGTTGATTCTGACTCTATATGATAGAGTAGAACTACACTATAGAGTTTCTCTCTTTACAGGAACAGAGCACTAAGTCTCCTCCCATGAAGCAGATGAAGAGTTTGAACCAATAACCTTCTGGTTAGCAGTCAAGCATTTAACCACTGTGCCACTAGGGTAGGAAGGGGAAAAAATACCACGCCTTCTGAAAATAAAATTCAATTTTCTGTTAAAAGCAGGAAAGGTTTGGTGGGGGTTTTTTTTTAGGAAAGGTATTTTGAAACCAATTTTTAAAGAACCCCTTTTAACAGGGTGATTTACATGAACATTTAACATTACCTCTAAAATAAAAGTAAAAGTAAAAATCATTCATCCTAATATATTAGCTAGGTCATACAGAGTTTCTATGTTCAACTTTTTGAGGAAATGCCAACTCAGTCTTGTAAGGACAAATACTGCATAAGACCATTATTGTAATAATAGAAGGATAACTAGTAAAACATGTATGGAAATCCATAGGGGGAAGAGGTGGGAGCAGAGGGGTGAGGATGGGTAGGGGCAAAACCTCAGGGTTGTACAGTTTGGTGAAGGAAATGGGAAGGATCCAGCAAGGACCTGAGAAGACAGGGTAATGATGGGCCAGGTCCAATGATGATTAATTTTATAAAACATCATGCATGGAAATGATTGTTTGAAAGATAATATGAATGAAGAATAGTGTGAAACACAATGCATATGAACTTTGTTAGCAAAGCAATATAAAATAAAATTTTACAAAATATTCACTCTTAAATACATGTAATAAGCTGGTCTCCAAAAGAATTTTTTTTTCCCTTTACAAATACTCTAAGTAAAAGGAAAGTACTCTTAAAACATTACATCACTATCTTAACAGAGACTGCATTAAAATGATATGGTGACTCAGCCACATACACATAATGCTTACTCACCAGAATGTTTTTGTTCCTTCTGTAATGAAAAATAATAGGCATCGCTTCCACCCCAGCACACTGCTAGTCCAACCACCATGATGTCCTCATAACCTTTAACGGGAAACCCATCCTCGGTAATAGGAGTTTTCTGAGGTGAGCTAGCTACATAAAGTAAAAGTAAAATAATTCCATCTCTAAACATATCAGTTCATTAAATTGATTCTTAAAACAATGTTACTTAAAAAAAAACTGTATTTGATAAATATTCAATGCTTCATGAATAAATTCACTCATAAACACAGAAATTTAAGAAAGCTGATTCAAACCTCTTAATTTGCACAACTTGTCAAACTGATTACAGCTCTTCCCCAGGGTCTGGAATCCAGACCTCGTGATAATACAAAAGTATACACAGCTTAATTTGAACAAAAGGCTCAATTATCTCAAAACTTGGAGATTAACAATTTCAATAAAGAATTCATAACTATCATTGATAGTTCAAGTTCCACTTGAGGTGAGTCTTAAAAATATTAACTAATGTTGGAAGCAGGAGCAGCATCCACTTCCGAAATGGCTTGCCTCCGGAAACTCTATGTACGAACAGTGCTCAGGCTGTTCGTTCATAGGGTCGCTATGAGTCGTCTACGACTCGACGGCATTAAACAAACAACAATGTTGAAAAAGAGACTGCCGAATTGCTTTGTATTTTGGGGTTTATGTAAATGAACTATGGTATAACAAACAGAATACGCTATGGGTACTGATGATTAATAAAAATCATTATGTCATGCCACAAAGAAAGCATAAAATACAAATTATCTTGTTAAAATTTTATATTCCAACTCATGGAATATCCATTGCATGCACTGTTTATATCAGAAGGTAACTATCATTAATCTTCTATATTGAATCTGATTAAGTAAAGCCATTAAACACATAAAACTATTGAGAAGCATTACTTAAGAAAATCTTTAATGACTGAATTATATTTAATATTCAATTCAGAAAAGTCTAAATCTCCTCAATTCATTAGTTAGTGTAATAGATAAGTGTAAGGAAGAAAAAAACTTACCAGGCTTAAACCTATCACCAATAGTAGCAGTTTTAGATGTCAAACTACTGAATTTTTCACAAGCCAGTGAGACAGAAAATCGCTTTTTGCACTGCCATTCCTTAATAAATGTTTGAAAGAGAGCTTGGTCACTGGCTACATCAATTATGGTCACACTTTCTGAATTTGTTGACGTTAAGTATAAATCGTCCTGTGATAACTGCAGTGAAAAATTTGTGTCTTTAAGTGGACTGCCTTCTTCGAAACTATTCCTGTTCTCTAGACTTAAGTTATGGTTTTGAAGATTGGAGGGTGAACCAAATAGGTAACTTTCACCAGGTTGTAAGACACTACTGGTTTTCTGACGTTTTGCAGAAGATGTTCCAAGAATCCCTGGATATGCTCGCTTAGAAGCAGATGGTGGAACAGGCGTCGGAGGAATGAGGCCATTATCATCAACGACACAGCTTTCTTTACAAGAGAAGAGGGGAGAGGCCTCACCATAAATCACGTTGTTCACTTGTGGCTCCATCTTGCTTTTTATTTCATCAGGGGGAAATGAAATTCCTTGCCTTTGATTTGTCTCCAAATTAGAAATCACTTCTTGTTTGTCTTTCAGCTCCACATCTTTTCCTTTTAAACTAGAAAGGTTTATAGCCCTTAATCTCAGATTTTCATTTTCTAGAGGACTGGACACTTTATCCAAAATTCTTTGCAGTCCTGGACTTAAGTCAAATGATTCCTCTGACCATATGAATGAATGATTTTGCACTGTCTCCACTAATTGGGGCTTTTGATCCCTTTCATCATCTTCTCCTTCAATTATTTCTGTATCACTCTCATCAGCACCTAAAATTTCTGGGTCACTGAGTTCTAAGGCTTCAAGACACACTGTAGTATTATGTTTCTTCTGAGGAGGAAACCGATCTACACTATCTAGGGCCTCAACCACCTGACCAGGATCCATTTCTGAGAATAAAAATGACTCGTCACTGAAACAGATCAATTGTTGCTGAGTATCTACATTCTCCTCCACACGGGGTTTGTTAGCTGGGCTTTCTGGTTGTAGACCTAGAGAATTACTTAAATGCCTTGATTCTACTCCAGAAGGAGGAGGTCCTGTCACGTGAACATCAGGTAGTTGCTCTTTAACTTGACAGTCATCACTAAAACTGTCAAATAATAAAGTGTCACTCATATTCAAATTTCCTTCAGACACTGAGAGGCATTCAACTTCCTTATCGGAGGGAGTGCTCTGCTGAGGGGCCAGAGGAACGACTGGCTTTACGGTTTCTTGTGTTTGAAAGCCTTGAAGAAAGCTGTTTAATTGGGAGTCAGTAACGGAATGTTCACTGTTTTTAACACCAGTCTCGTTTTCCCCCAACAATATTGGAGAATGAAAGTTTGGACTTTGTGTAGCTCCTGTATCAACCCCATGTGAGTCAGTGTTTTGTTTCACAGTATCTACAATGAGCTGGTCCAAATGATCTGTATTTGTTCCTCCCACAGAACGTTGTTTGCTAGAAAAATTAATGTCAATTTCATTCTGTAAAGACAGAGCCGAGTTCTGCTGTTCTGAGCTCTTCTTCATCCCTGTGGCCAGGTTGGTATTCCCTGCTTCTTTTTGCTTGGCATTCCCAGTCGCTATCTGTTGTATTAACTTCTCTGACTGCGTATCCAGGTATAAACTGTCTTCAAAATCACAGAGGGCTAAACTTAAGTCAGAAATATGATTCTTTTTTATTTTGTTTGCTGGGTAAGCATCTATTTGTTCTTGTTTTTGAGAGGTAAGTAGAAAATTCTCATGTTGGCCTCCACTTTTATCAACTGTTTCAGTTGACAGACGTGTTCCACTGGGTGGCTCAGTACTGTAGTCAGTCTGCTTTATCAAGTCGCCATGTGTTAGCACATTGTCCATTTTTTCTCTATCATTGGCTAATCCTTTTCCATTTTCACTAATCACACTAGTAGCTTGACATGACATTTTTTCACTTTGAGCCCCTGTGATAAAACGTTTTGCAGGAATATCACCAGTTACTGTATTGTTCCTTGAGCACTGCTCTGTTTGTGATGAGAATGATGTTTTATTATATTTTCCCTCAGCATAGCAAGAGGTATTTTTTGCAAATGACTCTATATTCTTTTCACTTAAGGTGAAGGGATCTTTATGGTGACTAAGATCAGATATAGGTTTTCCTTGTAATTCAGTTCTACACACTCCAGAATCTTTCAAAGGCTCCCTGTCTCTCAAAAATTTTAGACGTTTACTCTGTTTCCAAGAATGAAAGCTTGCGTTCCATTTTTCTGAACTGACATCTAAGGCTTCTTTTTTCATCTTTTCAGAAGTAAAAGTCTGAACAACTTTTTTAGTGCTAGTGTTTTCCTCCTTGAGAAAATTGTGTAACTGCTTTCTACTAGACTGTTTTGCTCTGGGAATGGAGTGCACATAAGGTTCTTGATTACCATTCTGGAGCTGATGAGAGGAACTTGTATGCTCTCTACTTTTATTGAAATTTTGTATTGTATTTGGAGATCGCTTCATAGAAGAATCATTAAGTGTTACTGAGTTACTTTTTTTCTCTGAAGCTGTCAATCTTTTCAAAGAACCCTTAGCTTGGGTAATACATGTGTGTTCTTCCACTTCTGAATCACTGCTGGTCAGTGAACATGCATTAGAATGTAAAAGGGAATTCGGAGTCCACTGCACTCCCATTTCAACTAAGTCCTGCTGTAGAATCATTTTGGCTTCCTCCACTATCAAGACTGCTGCCTCTCTTTCAGTTAAGCCTCTTCTGCCAGACACCCAAATAGTACGCATATTCCTACGTTCTTCAACAGCTTCCTCTTCCTCATCTACTGCCTTTCGTGCACTATATAGGGAGACAGCAGAAAAGAAAGAAATCAATGCTCTCAGTCATTTAGTCCTTCGCTCACTACTATAATAAATGTTGATTAAGCATTCAGTTGGAGATGTTTTAAGTATTGAAGAGACAACAATGAACAAAACAAGTACATGTGCTCTCATGGAATTATAGTCTAGTTGGAGATCATAGAAAAGAAAAAAATTCTTTAAAACACATTATATACCAATGGTGATAAGAGTTGTGTATAAAAATGAAGCAAGAATAAGTGAAAGAGCAGCAAGATGGGTGGTTCTGAAATGTAAAACAGCCTGGTAAGGGAAGACCTCATATGAGGAGAGCAAAGGGCATAAATTCTAATTGATAGCTGATCCTCCTCCTCCACAATATATCTGAAAGAACCGGAGTGAGAAAGAGAACATAAAAGCTAGAGGGAGTAAGAGTGAGAAGAAATGAGTACGCTATGCTATGGACTAAAAGTTGTCTAACAATAAGGTAAACTTAAGTCTTAACCTGTGAACAGGAACCTGTTTGGAAACAGTCTTTGATGATGCAATTAAGTTAATATGAAGTTATACTGAGTAAAGTGGATTCTAATTCAATATAAAAATGGCTATAGTGGCTGGGGTAATCGGGATGGGTGTGTCAGAGGCAGTGCGATTGGCACAGGACAGAGCAGGGTTTAGGGCTGTTGTACATAGGGTTGCTATGAGTCACAAGTGACTCAATGGCACATAACAACAATAACAATAGGACCTGCCTAAGATCCCATAGGGAAATGATTACAGAGAATAGCAGTAAAGAAAATAATTATGCTATTCCTTGCTTAGCAAATCCAGGTAGTACAAAAGGTTAGAGTGCTCAGCTGTCAACCAAAAGGCAGGTGGTTTGACTCTACCCAGGGGAGCCTTGCAATCTACTTCTAAAACAATCAGTCCCTGAAAGGCCTGTGGAGCACAGTTCTACTCCACCACGTGACGTGGCAACAAGTCAAGTCAGAGTCAACTTCATGGTATCTGGCTGGGGTTTTGTCGTTGTTGTTGTTACCAGTTATTGGTATACATGCACACACATACAAAATAGCAAAGAGAGTCACTTAACTAGTCTTTGAGGAACTACTATTTCAAAGAACATCTGAGAGAAGTACATTTTAAGGTGCTATATTCCACAAAGAAAGTTCTAAGATGAGCTGAGAGATTTCCACCAAAGCAGAAAGTATGATTATCTGTACTTTTACTCAATCATTCTAGGGAAGAATTATAACAATACTAAAAACAACCTTTTCAGTTGAATATTCAAAGAATATTTACAATTCCTTACTCAATATTCCTTCTTCAAGTGAGGAAAAGCAGTCATTGTTTGAATTCCATATCAGTATGTCAGGAGACATACTACTACATTGTTATCTAAGAAAGAAAATGTAATACATTCCCATTTACAGATTCAAATTATTATTTATTTCATAATGCTATGAAGGCAGAGAAACTTTCTTACCTTTTGAAAGGGACAGCAGTTTTCAGAGTAGCCTCCACATCAGCAATATTTGCCCTAGCAAGATCTGCCACGGTAAGAAAGCCGGATGCATAGAGACACCTGGCTCGCTGTGCGTTAAGTAAGGACACCCGGATCAGGTCACACAGCTCCCTCTGAATGCCAAACGTAAGACGCTTCTGAAATTGGGCAAGTAGTAGTTCCATGTTGTGCCAGCCCAGGCGGTTGGAAAATACTGTTATCATCCCTAGAACGTTCACATAATATTTATTGAATTAAAATTCTTTAGACTCCATTTACCACTTTTTAAAATATTTTTTCATTGTTGCATATTTTTTCCCACTCCCCTCCGCTCCTCTTCCTCCCAGCCTACCCCTTGTTCTAGATTGTCAGATTATATATAATACCTAATCATATGATGATGTCCTTCTCCAAGGACTAGTCCCTGCCGGGGACATGCGCAACAAAGTACATGAGACAGAGCTTCAAAATCCTTGCCTTCAAGGAGAAACTTGGTTTCATCATCCTTGGAAGGGTGGAAAGACAGCACAGGAGAGGAAGACCCCAGATGAGAGGGACTGATACAGTAACTGGGGTAATGGGGGTAGGTGTGTTGGAGTCATCAGTGAGACTGGCTCAGAATAGGGCAGGATTCAGAGCTGTTACATATAGGATTGCTATGAGTCGCAGGCGACCTGACAGCACATCAACAAAAACAACAACAATCATATATCCCTTTCGGTCAGCTCTTCCCCTCATCTGTTCTAATGCAGTGTTCATTATCTAACCTTTTCCCATTCTTTCTCCAACTCCCTCATGTCTGTCCTATTTTATAACTGTGGTGTTATGCAGTATTGGTTCTTTTGTGACTGAGGTATTTCACTCAACATAATGTCCTCGAACTTCCCTCATGATGGTCCTTGTTTTTCAGTGCTGCATAATATTCCATTATGTGACTATACCATACTTTCTCTATCCATTCATTTTTTGATAGGCATGTGGGTTGCTTCCATCTCTTTGCTATGTAAATAACACAGTAATAAACATGGAAATGCATCTGTTGGAGTCATGGCTCTGGTTTCTTTAGGGTCTATTCCCAGTAGTTGAATTGCTGGGTCTAACAGTATGTTTATTTCTAACTTTTTGAGAAAGCACCAGACTGCCTTCCATAGTGGCTGTACCATTTTACATTCTTACCAGCAGTGAATAAGATTTCCAATCTCTCCACAACCTCGCCAGCATTTGTTCGAACTTTGCTGTTGTTGCTGGGGTGCGATGCTATCTCATAGTTGTTTTGATGTGCATCTCTCCAATAGCTAGAGATTTTGAACATTTCTTCATGTGTTTTTTGCCATCTGAGAGTTTTCTTTGGTGAAGAGACTACTCATATCCTGTGCCCATTTTGTGATTGGGTTGATTACCTTTTCTTGTTAAAGTGCTGTAATATTCTATAAATTTTACCTATAAGTCCTTTATCCGATATGTGATTGCTCTCTATGGCCATACCACCCTCAATGTGCCTGATCTCATCAGATATGTGATTTCTAAATATTTTTCCCCAGTCTGTAGGTTTCCTTCTTACCCTGTTGGAGAAGTTTTTTGATGTGCATAGGGATTTGATTTTTAGAAGGTTCCATTCATCTATTTTATTCTTTTCTGGTTTTATGATTACCATTTCTTTAGATTCAATTTTTTAAAAAAATTGTTACAGGTTAACTATGTCCCTGCAAATTATGTACTGGCATGGATGATAGGATTATACAAAGAAGAATGGATAACTTGCTAAAAATGCAAATGGACTAAATAACATCTTTGGGGTGGGAACATGCAAATAAGATGGATAGACTACTAATGAGGAAGTTTGGTCAGTTGCCAACTCACAGACTTAAATTGACCAAGTTCAGGAGGGGAAAACAGGAAACTATCGAGAAAGGAGTAGAGCATGCCCTTTGCACCACAGTTCCGTACAAGCTGGAGTGAGGGTGATCGAGTCCAGCAGGTGAGGGAGCAGAGAAGCAGAGGCCAGTGTGAGACAGAACTACTAGAATTGCTGCCCCAGGGAGCCCGAGTCCAGAGCCTCAGCCTAGGCTTCGTGGTGGAGGTGCAGCTTGGCTTCTCTGACACTTACAGGAGAATACAGGTAAGGAGAGATGGATGTAAAAATAAAGTGTACAAAATAAAACCAGAACATAAAGCTTTGGAAAATTCTGTTGAACTAAGGATTTGTGTCCTAGAACTTTCAGCAAGGATTAGGCTACTATACCTTTTGCTCAAGAAATTAAACCTATGATTAATGAATCTATTCATCTACTACAGAAGACAGGGACATAAATAGTGCAAAATGAAGGAAAGTTGTCTAAAGGCAGATATTGGCCAAAGAGGCTGTCCTTCAGGAAAGAAAGTCTCATTCCAGGAACAGTTAAGAGATCAGTTTAACCACTTGAAGGAGCCACAATGCATAAAGTTACTGCTATTTCAAAGGGGGGGGGGCACTGTCTCTATTACAGAGAAACCTAAGAAAAAGTGATCCCTTTGAACTATGGTGTTGGAAAAGAGTACTAAATATCCCATGGGCTTCCAAAATAACAAACAGATATGCTTTAGAGAAAGTGTAACCAGTATGTTCCTTGGAAGCAAAGACGATAATGCATTACTTTTCATACTTTGGGAATGTTGGTAGGAGAGATTATTCCTGGAGACGGACATCATTATTGGAAAAGTGGAGGGATGGCTAGAGAGAGGAAGACCCTCAACCAGGTATATTGACACAGTGACTGCACCAATAGGTTTAAGTGTGTCAGAGATTGGGAGGATGGCGCATCACAGGACAGGGGTCAGATCTGTTGTTCACAGGATCATTATGAGTCATACTTGACACCTGACAACAACAGGTTTCAAAGGCAGCTCTGGTGGTGCAATGATGTGACTGAACACTGGAAGGAAGGTGTTAACAAAAAAACAAAAAAACCTTGGTGCTTCAAACCTAACAGTGACTCTGTAGGAGAAAATGTAGCACTATGCTTCCATAAAGATTTACACTCTAGAAATCCAGGCGAGCTCTTGTGGCCTAGTGGCAAGAAGCTGCACTGCAATCCCAGAGGCATGTCGTTTGAATCCACCAGATGCTCTGCTGAAGAAGGAGGGACAATCTCCTCCTGTACCAGTCAGATCAATTTGACGGTACACACACAAAAAATAATTCAAAAAAAGAAATCTTATGAGGATGCCCTACTTTGTTCTATAGGGTCATTATAAGTTGACATTAACTTGATAGCAATGGGTTTGGCTTGGTTTGGGATTAGGTTTCAAGCAGTCAGATCTCCGCTAACTTAGTTATGAGTGTGACATTTGCATTCACTTGAACCAAGAGGATGCAGTCACCATCTAAAGGCTGAGGATGGGCATACTCAAAGGTTAAGAGAAGGGGGTTAACCTGCCCAAGGACCAGGAGAATTGAGAATATTAAGGCTGAAGGAGTTGGGTAGACACACGGAGTAGGAGACGTGGGCTGACCAAACCCACAGAAGAGTTGCCATCCCACTAGCTTTGGAAGGCAGGACTGATGCTCAGGGCCATAGGTCCTCCACTCAAAGTGGGACAGCAGCACATACAAAACCTGAGATTTCACTCATTCGAAGTGGAAATATTCTTGTGTTTGTTCCACCACAGTACTAAGGAAGTACATAACTTGGGTTCTAGATGTCAGACACACAGATAAAGAGGATTAAGAGGGTTTTGTCCCAGGATGGAATATGCCCGAGGTGTAATTTAGATGAAGCAGACAATGAAATTTTGAATTTGGAGTTGATTTAAACCTTTGGGGATTATGTGGTAAAATAAATGCGTTTTATACATGGGGAAGACAGAAATTGGGGGGTGGAGAGAAGGGAGGTTTAGAATGTTATGGATTGAATTTTGTCCTATATGGATTTCCTGTTACATTAATGAGTTAGTATTAGTGGAGGGTGTGTCGTAAGGCAATCATTTTTTAAATATAAAAGAATATAACAGAAGGAAGTACAAATGGAGAAAACCTGATGATACATGGAGATCCCCAATGAATCAAATTGTAAGAAGCTGACTGCGCAAGGATTTCCCTCCAGAACAGAGTGAGCCTTTCCCTAGAGCCAGCACCCTGAACTAAGATTATTTGTTTTCTAAACTGTTCTCGCTCTTGTGGTATTTCTGTTAAAGCAACACCAAGAAAGTTAGATAGTTATTTAGGAGGGTTTAAGTTTCCCCATTGCTTTTTTGTTGTGGTTGTTTGAGGGTTTAGGGAGGTTTTTTTTTCATTTTGATATAGATTTATGTTGAATAAATCTAATCAATAACTTAAGAAAAGGGAGACCAGTCAGAATTTTGTTTCTTCTCACAACAGACAACAAGGAAAAGAGGAAAAAAACAAAGCCAGAAACAACAAGGAGAGGGAAGATCAGTAAGTTAAGAAGTGAAAGTTCTAACACTCCACTAGCTTTCAATACCATATAGCAGAGTAACTGAGCAAGAAGCCAGAGTTTTAAAATCCTGATGATAATAGATAGAGACTACCCAAACTTGGGGAGGGCTAGTGGCCTAGTGGCAAGAAGCTGCACTTCAATCCCGAAGGCACATGGTTCAAGACCACCAGCTGCTCCGCAGGAGAAGGATGAGCAATCTCCTCCTGTGCAATTAACTGCCTCTGAAAACCTACCAGAGGGTCAGCTATGGGTCAGTTCTGACTCTAGGTTCTACAACAGCAACAACCCAAACTTACAGCTTATGTAACAGAGTCCTACCTTAAAATCAAATTTGTAAAAAACATCTTAAACTTGACAAGAAATCACAATCTTAAATAAATATGGAAACCCACTGTTTCACTGACCTGCATAAACAGCAGCTGATTGCTGCAAAGACTGAACTTGTCCACGATTGCATCCATATTTCTGATTGATTTCTTTTAAGGGAACCTCACTGATTAAATCCAATAACACAAGACTGGTGAAAAATCTGAAATGTAAATCGCCAAGTTTAATAAGACATTGCTTATGTCTAACATAAAAATGCATATTTCTAAATAACTACAAATCAAAAAGGCAACAGAGAGTTTATACAGCTTGGGAAGATTTCTAATGGGAAAAAAAAAGAATGGAAAAAGATTGAGGTCAATGTAGACATACAACTAATAGCAAAGAACTACTCTCTATATATTATTGTTGTTGTTGTTGTTGATTGCCTTTGAGTCAAGCACGACTCATAGCAACCCTAAGAACTAAAGGCCTGAAGCCTTTCTCTAACTAGCGATGTTTCTCCAAGTTCATAGAGTTTCCAGAGGTATGTTGTTTAGGAAGTGAATGCCCCTCGCTTCCAAACCTGTCTTAAACTGGGAGCTCCACCAAACACTGTCCACCATGGGTAACCATTATGCCATTTGACACCCCAATGGCACAAGGTTCAGCATCACAGCAACCCCAGGTTACCTCAGGCCAACATACTGACAGAAGAGTGCTGTACCACTTAGAAGAATGTTCCTCCAAAATAAAAAACATAAATTTATAATATCTCCCTTCATGTTTCAATACTTTTAACTCATTTAAGAAATATGATGTGGTTGAAAAAATATGATGGCAAAAAATTTGAAAGAAGACTTGACAGACAACTATGAGAACTTTTAATCATATTTCAATACAATGTTAGGATTTTATTACCAAATTCAGCTTCAATTAACTGACTAAATAGTGAACAACAGTAGCAAAAAAACCCACAAACCTCTCCAAATATATAAAGCTTTCTAAGTTACAGTTGACAATGTTGTGAATGTTACATGCAGTCGCCATGAGCTGAAGTCAACCCAATAGCAACTGAAACAGAAAATACTTGAAGAAAAATAACTTTACATTTAAAAAAACTAAAATCTTGTCCTGCATTTGAATCTTCTAATTAGTATGTACCTGCTAATAATCAGTAACTTCTAAAAATGAAAAGCATAACCCTCAAAAGAAGCTACACTAAGGTGCAAGTTGTTCTGAGTCATCTATTCATTAAGAAAAAGAAGCAATAAGATGCTTTAAAATATCTTCACATGTAATATCTAATGAACCAGAAATGATAGGTAGAAAATAACATAAACTCCATAAATATAGGAAATTTTTAAAGTGCACTGTAGTCAACCAAAATCTTGATTTCACTGATGAAAGAGACAACAATAAACATAACATCCAGATACTGAATTAAACACTGGGGAACCACGGCTCCTTGACGGTTACCTCTTATGGATGGCCATTTGACGGTGCTGTCGCTCAGTTCTGGCTACGACCTTCCCCTTCACACAGCGAGCCAAGAACCCTTCTTCAACTCCAACCAGCTCTGCAACTCGTTTCATAGACGTTGGCAACTTCTCCCATAAACAAAAGAATCGGTACCAATCAATAGTAGTCCAGTCCACAAACATTGGTGTAACCTAGGAGGAAAAAGAATCCTTCATTAGCTAAATCTATGGCACAAAAGGAGCAAAGTTGTAAATTTAAACTTCCTATCAAAGACAAATTTTAAAAGGTTTCTGTGATATTATTTGATTTCTAAGAAAAACCTCGGTCACCTACAGAACAACTTATAACCAAAGACAAAAGGGAAAGAGACCACTAAGACTCAAAAAAAGATTTTATAAAACCCAAATACTTTAATTTCAACATTCTGATAGTGGGTATCATCTTAAAGAACTTATATGATCTCATAGAAAGAATCAGTAAAACGGAAGGTGTAATGTTTGGGAATATAAAAAAAAAATATGAAGAAACCTAGAAAGCAGTCTTTGTATTAGAGAATTTATTATCTATAAAGACATGTTTAAATATTTGCTAAGATATCAAACACTCTCTAATCAGATCGGACCTGTGAGTGGTTTTTCAGAGCCTGTACATCTCATGGGAGAAAACTGTCCATTGGCAGCACAATTTCTTACACCTTAGGTCACCAGAACTCCCAGGGACAATGGTAGATGGATGATGGGCCGTTTGGATATTATTCTTAGCCATACTCTAAGTAGAGAACTCTGAGTCTACTGTCATCACATTGTATGACATGCTTGAAAAAGGTGCCCTTGTCCATATACTCCTGTTCTGTTGCCCTCTGTACAGTGTATTTTTTGCTAAAACACATTTCTTGGCAAGCCTTCTTAATAAAGGACTGCAATTTTATGCACTCATTGTTTATGAAAATGTAAGCAACCACTTTTAATTGACAAAATAAATTCTTTCTTATCTCATCAGAAAACAGGACCTCAGGCAAAATTTTATCCAATTTCTACCAAAGACTATGTTTTAAGGAGTAATACTCATAAAGACCTATCTAACATAAACTACTACATTTATTATCAGTATCTTATCAAACATATAATTCACAAAACAACTTCTCAAGACTAAATTTCTCTTACAAAGTTAGATCATTTTTTTAATGTCAAACTCATTTTTGACTGATAAATATTGTAACTAATCAAGTTTTCCTTTTTGCTTTATTGGCTAGTTAGCTCAGAAGCAAATGTTGGCGGTAGTAATTGTACATTATTTAATGGCATTCACATTTATTAATCTTTATTTGAATTTTACTTTATGATTTTATTTTCAATTTCTTAGAAATCAACTGTTCTTTTCCTTATATATTTGTTCCATTTGTCTTCTATTTTATAATTTTATATATATATTTAATTATAAAGCACCTCACATCTCTTTTTTCAAAGGAGGATAATGAAGATAAGTGGGTAGGTAAGCAAATAAGATTATTAAAAATTCACTAGAACATTTCTTACTTTAAAATAACTCTCTTCTTTATTTTTATCACTACTAACTTCCTTCCTCAAGAAAAACAAACAATATCATCCATTTGATTATCTCTGGAATATTTGGGGTTTTTTTTTTCTATCCAATTTCACAAATAAAATAAATAATGAAGAAAACAGAACTTACCAGATAAACAATATGCAAATCATTCTCTAAAACAAATCCCTTCATTGCTCTTTGGAGGTCAGCAAAAATATCTAAAGTATCCATTGGAGAAAGTGAAGAAGAAAGGGTAGCCGAACCAAGATGTGTTGGCTGATATACTTTTCCTGATTTAGGTAAGATAAAGGGGATATGCAAATGTTTAAAAAATAAGTAAGTAGAATAAAATATAATTAGCTGATTATGCAAAACAAATACAAATTAATAATTTAAATAACACAAGTAAATAAGATACTATAATTACAACAAATAAATAAAAAACTAAATTAAAATGCATTTCTTAAATAAGCTGAAATAAATATGTTGTTGTTGTTGTTGTTGTCGTTGTTGTTGTTGATGTTAAGTGCCATTGAGTCGAGTCGAGTCGTAGATGGCTCATAGCAATCCTATGAACAAAAGACCTGAACACTTGGATAGCTTTCATCCTTTCTCCAAGTCCATAGGGTTTTCAGAGGCAAGCTATTTCAGAAGTGGATGCTACTCCTGCTTCCAAGCTTGTTTTAATTGGGGAGCTCCACCAAACACTGTCTACCATGGGTGACCATTCTTGCATTTGACACATTAGTGTCACAGTGTTCAGCTTCACAGCAACCACAAGTTACTTCTGTACAGCAAGTGGACATAACTAGGCTATACAACTTAGAAGAATGTTTCACTAAAAACAATTAAAACTGGCCTGAGGGCCACAGACTATAACACACAAATAAATATAATAAATAAAATACATTTAAAAAGCATATATAAAATAACTAAACAAAGAAATTCTATTAAAATAAATTTAATTAATACACCTGATTTAATAAAATAGCTTCATGAAATAAAATATAGCTAAATTTGAATAGTAAAATAAATAACACTGATAAAATTACATTAAATTTTAAAATAGATTTAAATATACTAACTACATTAAATATAAACATTTAATTAAAACAAACATATAAGTAAAAGAATGACTAAAATAAATTCCATAATATACTCTGCACATTTTCTTATAAACCTCTATTGTTGTTGTGAAGTCGTCTCTAGGCTCTGATAAATTTCACAAACAGAATCTTGTCCAATGTATGGAAATATGTATACATATCTTTTAAGTAAATAAATGTTACCTGTGAAATACACAGCATGAAGGAAACAAATGTATATGTTACATCAGTTTCACAATTTACATTTATGTATGTTATATATACATTTATATGTTATACATGGTACCCAGTCTGCTCATATATACATACTTAGGAGAAATGAGCTGATGCTTTGCCTGAAGTAAATTTCATTTAAAATGCTTTTTAGTCAATTTCATTTTACTGAGTAAAGTCTTACTCACTTTATATTATTAAAGATAAAAAAGTGAGCAAGTTGCTGCTGAGAATTCATCTTTACCTTCTGTTCCGTCCTCCACATCTGTCATTTGGATGAACTCATTCTCTAGCAGCCATCTGACGCAGGCCTCAATGGCTCCAAGTTGACCAGCATCTTGATTTCTCTGAAGGTCCTGCTTCCCTTCTTTCATACTTGCAGCCAAAAATGTACAAGAAGCATAATTCTGCATATCTTGTGATGTACTTGCCACTCCACCAACAATTATCTGGCAGAAAAACGTCAGGATTTCTGTAACTTCTTATTAGTCATACAGGCATTTACCATTTTATTAAAGAAATTAATTATTTTGGTATTTTTTCTCATAGTCTTATTGCTGTTGTTGTTAAGTGCCATTGAGTTGAGCACAACTCATAGCAACCCTATGAACAAAAGATCTGAAGCCTGTTCTATAACTATCGTCATTTCTCTACATTCATGGTTTCAAGAGGCACGTTGTGCAGGAAGTGGATTCCACTCCTACTTCTTAGAAACTAATAATTTTCTCCCATCACTCAATGAATATATCGCCTACTTACAACATGAAAAACTCTTTTTCAAAGTCAATACAATATAATCTCATAAACTAAAATTATGTGCAATTTCAAAACCAGTAACATAGTTAAAGGAGGTATGATAGCTCCCGACAAAAAGTCAATTCAACGTTCCAGTCATAGATTGGTTATGTTCCCCCAAAAGGTAAGTATATAATGGTATACTAATGTAATGGAGAGCTCTGGTGGCCTGGTGGGAAAGGAGCTGTGCTGTGAACCCAAAGGCAGGCAGTTTGAATCCATAAGCTACTCCTCGGGAGAAAGATAGACAATCCCTTTTCATGATATTTATAGGCTCTGAAAACCCACTGGAGGGTCAACTACGAGTTAGTTCTGACTCAACAGCACATAATAACAACAATGACATAATATGGAAACTTTGTTATGATCCCCCATGACCTAATAAACCAAACAGTTATAGGAAGATTGATTAAAAGTAGAATGCAATATCTCCAGCCCCATGTTGTTGCTATGTGCCATAAAGTCGCCTGTGACTCCCAGTGAACCTGTGTGCATTAGCTCTGAAATCTGCCCTACATGGGGATTCCCCCTGAGACTGCAGAGACGGTCTTGAATGTCATGATGAAGATGGCACAGGATAGGGCAGAGTTCAGATCTGTTGTTCACTGGGTCATTATGAATCATGCTTGGGTCAAGGACATCTAACATAACAATCATAAGTAGTGGCCTCTAATATTTTTTGATGTTATTCCTCTCTACTAGAGATAAAAAGGTAGGGGGGAATAGGAGCTGGGAGGTGGTGGGAAGAGTGCTTGGTGCCATCACAAAATACTATCAGAGGTGGAGAGCATCTGTTTTGCCATCAGAAGGCCAGAATACATGGAGGAAACTCTGAAAGTCTCCAGGGAACCCTGGGCCTCCAGCTGCCTAAAGAAACAAGGATTTTCTTCTACTTTGAAATTGAGCTTCTAGACTCCTAAAATTTAAGAGAACACATTTCTGTCTGTTAAATCCAGCAATTGTGGTATCTCTATTATAGCAGAATCAGATAACTAAAATACTTGCTTGTGAAACATACAGCACGAAGGAATACTCTCGTGTCTAATACTTTTGCGTCTACACAAAAGAGGGTGAGAATGCATTCAGAAAGTCATCTGTGCCTTGCAGATAGAATCTTTTCATAACAGTGAACCCTTGCTCATTTCCATTAATAATGAGCTATAATAAATTATCATAGCTTACCCTTTTACTGACCACAGGATACAATTTTACTATTTTTGTATTAATAATAATCATGTTATTGTGTTGTGGTTTTTTTTTTCTTATTACAAATGGTGCTTTATAGGGGGCTCTAGTGTCATAGTCTATAGGGAGCTGCACTGTTAACCCAAAGGCAGTGCCTTTCGGATGGCTTAAATCTAATAGCAGGGCCAAAGATAGGCAATCCTTCCCTACGTCATTTAAAGTCTCTAAAAACCCGCTGGAGGGTAGTCAAGTCAGTTTCAATTTGATGGCCATGAGAAAATAATATTCTTGCATACTTAATCTGACATAATTTCACATCTATTTCTCTAGGCAAAATTCCTGATGTTATATTGTTGGGGAAAGGAGCATATGTGAGTTTGGTTTTATGTTGAGTGGGGGTGGGGGGTTTCCATTTCATTTTAACAGATACAGTCAAGAGGTCCTGCCTAATAGGTTTGACAATTTATGAGAATGTCTGCATTCCACAGCCTTGCAAACACCCTATATTGTAAAAAATCAACTTTTAAAAACTGCTAATTAAAGGGGACAGGAAGAGTATATGTGCAACTATGAATACCACTGGCAGTAATAATAAAAACAATTCCAATGTATGCTGATAAATGCACAGAAAAATTTCCCTGGACAGATACAGCATATATCATCGGAGGATGTCTTTGAGAACTCTTAACATAAAGAATTTTTACTTTTTTTCTTAGCGTTTTCTATATTGTTTTTCATTTCTAACCATGTGCATTTATTTGTAACTTATTTTAGTTCAATTCAATAAATATTAATTGGATGGAATAGTAATTGGAGGTACTAGAGTCTGTTTTGTCATATCTTTTCAATTTAGGGAATAATTTTTTAAAAGTTTAAAAAATAAAAAACTATTTGACATTGTTTAGGGTTTTAAACTATGGTTATGAAATAGATTGATAGAGCACTAGCTGTGTTAAACTCTAGGTAATAACGAAATAAAATGGAAAAAATGTAAATTTGCTAAAAATAGGATAATTATAAAGAAACACAAAGCTAAGAAGTCTACGTGCTAAAGTTCTATCATTTTATTATATTAGAGGAGCAAAAAGGCAAACTACAATTCTGCAATTTTACTAAATTACTCTGTTACCTCCAAAATGGCTCTTATCATACTGGCAGATGCTTCTTCTCCTTCTAGCCTTTGAAGGCAGCTGTGAACAGGTTTTAGAGATCCTTGAAGTAGGGCTATGCCTTTGGACTTCTCAGAAGCCTTACAAACTAAGATACTCTCACCTAGAGTGGAAAAAAGATCAGACATCTGTCAAATCTCAATTCATATCATAAAACAGCCTCTGGAAAAAGTTGCCTTATTTATTTAATAAATGATGATAGTTAGTTGGTCATAGTCTATGGCTAATGTCTCTATTTTCTGAACTATAGGTTGATTATTATTATTATGCTTATTATTATTATTATTATTAAATAGTCATGTCACTGAACTGTACATTTATAACTTGGAATTGATACTTTAAATAAAATATTTCAATAACAAGAATTTAAAAAACCCAACCTTTAAAATCCATACCCAGAATGTTACAACCATGAATCACTGTAACAATTATAATTAAAGAATTTATTTTTCCTTTCAAAAGTAAATTTTCAATCTGGGGAATTAAAAATCAAAAAGTCAAAGTCATTGACATTGAGTAAAAACCAACTCATAGTTGATCCTCCAGTGGATTTTCTGAAGCTGTAAATCCATTGTTACAGTCACTGTGTCAATCCATCTCTTTAAAGGTCTTCCTCTCTTTGATCTTCCACCTTTCCCAAACATAGTTGTCTTTTTCCAAGGACTGATCCTTCTGATGACATTCCTGAAGTGTGTGAGATAAAGTGTTACCATCCTTGTCTCTAAAGAAAACTCTGGTTGTACTTCCTCCAAGATAGATTTGTTGTCGTTTTGGTAGTCCATGGGACATTCTGTACTCTTCTCCAAAAAACAAACTTCAAAGGCATCAATTCTTCCTTGGTCATCCTCAGTAACTAAACAACTTTTAGCTAGAAAGAAGCAACTGGAAAAACCAGGACTTGGATCGGGTACAACATGGTCTTTAAACTGACATCCTTGCTCTTTGACACTTTGACCTTGCCTCTAGATTTTCCCAAAGGAGTCCGTGTTTTGATTTCTTAACAGAAATCAAATTTCTTAAAGAAGATACAGATGTCTAACCCTGACTGCCAAGAAACTGTCCATTTTCCCCTGATAACATCTGCCAGAGTTGAACCACTGATCTTCCCATTAGAAGCACAACATGTTGCACACCCATGTTTATCGTGGCTTTGTTCACAATAAAA